CCCCCCCAAAAAAAACCTAAGAAATAAAATTTTGTTCGAGTAGAGAAGAAAACTTCCATTTATATGATTGTTAACAGAGCAACTCTTCTCTTAGCCACCATGATCATAAAAGTTATTTAATAACATCTATCCGGCAAAATACATAGATACAGATACACAGTCGTCATCCACAAATTTATACTTTCTCAATACATGTAGCATTTTAGCTGTATTTAGATAACCAGCAGTGCCTCGACAGCAAAGCAAGTTCTGCAGATGATAAATCTAGAAATTCTACACCCATTTGTCATCCACAGATTTCTAGCTTTTATAAAGAAGTTGTAGATCCAAAGAAATGCTATTAATTTTTGCTCTATTTTTCCGTTGCTCTAGCTGGAAATTTTAGCACCATCACTAGTGATAATTGAGCTTGCTCGCCGAAAATTCACAATTCTGCATTGTTTAGGTAAAACTTAGTCTGAAGCTTCAAATTTAATGAAACTGCACGTCAGGAATATGACACTCTTATCCTATAATTTAGTAATAAAAATTAAGTTCTATAATCTGTCCAAGTTGATGTATGAAGCTTTGTGGTTGTTGAATAGCAATTATATTCTGAATCAAAAAATCAACAACCCAAGATTTCAAAATCCTACCACAAACCAAACAACTATATAGACTGTTTTTGGTAATATCAACAATTGCTTGAACCTTTTCTAAAAAATCAAGTAACACTTTCTTGAACTATAGCAAGTTAGCAACCCCCTTTTATAATCTTAAACGAACTTTCACCTAGAACAAAATTCACAAGTTCCAAAATCCAGGAGCCTATCCAATCAAATCGAGACGTGAAAAAGATAACCTTGGCAATTCCTATCACATTTATATCTAACACTAGAATTGAATTTCACTGTGAACAAAACAAGATAAAGCAAAAATGTCTTAGGCGAACTGCAAAGCAACATCACCACTAAATTATTGATACCACATTGGCCAAACAAAACTGAACACACAAGACATGGTGCTTACTTTTACTTCTTCAGTAAATCTACTATCTAAAGAAATGCATGATAAGGTGTTCAATATGAGATCATTACTACCCGAGAAAGGAATAAATTTCTAAATAGTACAAAGACAAAAAAGGAATAAAATCCTAAATAGTACAAAGACAAGTGATCAGGAACCGATACTTTTGAGTGGACAAAAGAAAATAGAAATTCAGGAAAAATGCACACCGTGAATTAAATAAATTGCAACTGACAAAAGCTGATAGTACAAGACAACTATAACAAAAGTTAGGATTGGATGGAGTGAAAATCTTCAAACACGCAGTTTAGACAAAAAGTTCTATTGATCAACTAAGGTTATATTATTTAGAACTCCAAAGAACTAACAACCTATAAAACAGTGACAAACCACATATAGACAAACACAAAAGGTTATGAATTTCAGACATCCAAAGTGCCCTAGAAAACAATTAAACAAGAGTATAGCACGTGAACTGGTTGCGTAATAGAGAGAACTGAGAATATACCTTTGCAGTTGCCCAAAACTGAGCAAAATCAGCTACCCGCAGATTGCGGTCATCCACTAAGATGAGGCACAAATACCAGCAACAAATGGGTCAATTGCCGAACAAAACTGCATCTGTAGTTAGTAAACTGAAGGCAGTGCAACGCACTGCATGACCACTTAATCTATAATTAAACTATGGTTTAACTTTTAACTAGACAATCTAGCATGACTCGAGAACCAATGTGCTAACTATTATCAAGAAACCTATGAGACACTGTTTGCCTTCGAGTTTCCTAGATCCAACGGAAGTGGAGGTTTTCTTTAGAAATATGCTACAGTGGAGAGCAACAAAGGACATGAAAAAACAGCTGATAGCAGTGTATATTCATATCACAGGCAAATTTCAATGAATCTCACAGACATATTAAACAAAAGAATTGCCATTCAGCTGTAAAAGGAAACATTGATGCAAATTATTCCAGATGTCAGGCTTAGATGATGGTCAAAAAGATGAAATATGGTAATGCAGAGTAAGAGCAATCCATTCGCCCCAGAATATCATACCAATTACGAAAGAGAAAGCCCCCTCATCCAGGGTCTTTTTAAAAGACTTCAACATGCTGGACCGATAGGCCTGAAACACAGAGAATCAAATAGGTAATAGGTAATACTATATACAAGTCACTAAATTGCAGAAAATTAGGAAAAGCAAATTAACATCATGATGAGTTGGGCAAAATCCGAACCCATAAAGATCAACCAGGAATTTCAAAAGATCATTTCTACATCATTGATTGATTCCAAAATCGCTACAGTCTGGATGAGTCAAGCTTCTTGAAAGATGAAATTATGATATACAATTACATCAACATTAAACCCACAAGAGAAATAGCAACACATGGGCACACTATCGCCTAGTGCTATGTTTCTGTTACTAAAGGAATAAAGGTATAATAAATCAGTCACATAATGATTACGTCATAGTTTTAAGCAAAAAGTATGTAATAAATATGAAAATGTTTCTTTGTAGATACGGAACTCAACCACCTCACACCCCTAACCAGTAACCAAACAGTGGCTTTTCCCAATTTGCTCCCTTGGTGACTCAAACACTCAACCTCAAGGTTAGAAGGGGAGAGCCCTTTCTACTATGCAATCCCTCGTTGGGTTTGTTTTTTTTTTTTTTTTTTTT